GAACCAGGTCCAGTTTGTTCAGTGAGCTCCAGGGAATAGCACAGAGCCAGACACTTAGGAGACACTTAGGAGACATTTGCTGAATGAATGGAAGAAGGAATATCTGAAAGCACAGCACCTAATGGGCTCTCTGTTAATGGTCACTCTTACCAATATTTTAGAGCTTTTTTCTCAGTGCTTTTTTTTTCTTTTTTGAGAGGTTTTTGCTATAGGACGTGTGTGCTCGCCAGACAGAGAGAGACAGAGAGACAGAAAGGGAGAAATCACCCCCCGGGGGGATGGTCACACCGCAATCCTTTCTCCTCCATTCTCTTCTCAGGAGCTTGGGCACGCACGCACATGCGCCCTGTGTGAGTTTTAAGCCACCGGGTCCAGGACTCGAACCGCGGTCAACTACATGGGAGTCCAGCAACATAGCCATTATGCTAACTGCTGGTCCCTCAGTGCTTTTTCCTTACTGACATGAGCATAAATTACCTTTCAAAACATCCAGATCTGATGGTGTTACTCTCCTGATGGAAACTTTCTGATCGTCATCAGGCTGTCGGCCTTTGCCTTCTTACCTCGTGCTGGGAATGGTGCTGGGGCTTGAGGAGGGCATTCCTCAGTTATCCTGAGCACCTGCTTCAGTTAGGGCCCCTTCCACAGCCCCACTAGGGTCTCTGTGGGTCTCTAGGCACTTCTGCATCATGGATCCTTCTTCTACTAAAATAAAAATTTCTATTTTATATTGCATTTATTACTTTGCACCAGTAATAAAATAAATGAAAACACTGTCGTGAGCCCTAGATGCTGTCCCTGATGGATTTCTTTCCAGATGAGAAAACCGGCGCTCGAACGGAAGCAGGGGCAGGCAGGGTTGGTCCTCAAATTCAGGACAGGTGTGAGCAAGTTGGAAACTTCTACCTGGAGCAGATATCCAAGGGACCATCAGGGGTCAGCACTCCGGATCAGTCGGGGGCGTGGCCAGCCCTATCCTGTGTCCCTGGCCTGGAAATCCGCGGCCCCGCCCTCCTTCAAGCC